ATACTTGTTAGAGACTGACTGTGGACCTCTCACCCAAAACTCAGACGTCACATGCAAATGTCCAGTGTGGTGGCATGTGGAGGGGGGCGGGGTCTTTGGGGAGGTGATTAAGTCATGAGGGTGAAGCCCTCATGAATGGGATTATAGCTATACAAGAATACGTGGGAAACTTATAAAAGGTGCCCCAGAAAACTCCTTTGCCTCTTCCACCATGTGAGGACACGGAAAACATGGCTTTCTAAAGAGCAGACCCTTACCCTACATGAAGTCTGCTGGTGCCTTGATCTCAGAGTGCCCAGGCTCCAGAACAGTGAGGAATAAATTTCTGTTGTTCATAAGCCACTCGGTTGATGGTGAAATGGAAGCCAAGTATTGCAGAAGAAGTGAAGAATGTGGTCTCTCACCAGGGCGCGTCCGCGGTACAGAGGTGGAAGGACAGCAGGGGACGGTCCACTTTAAGAGGAGGATGGGGGTAGCTTTCACAGACGGCAGCGAATGCCAAATGAGTCTGGAAGGAAGAACTGGAGTCTGATGGACGGCGAGCACGAGGAGATGGCGACGGGCAGGTGAGACGGGGGTGCCTCCGGGTGGGCGGTCAGCGCAGAGGCTGAGATCTGAAGCCGACAAAAGAGAGGGGGTCTCATCCACGTCTGGGGGCATCTGCGGCTCATCTGAGGCTACTTCTGGTCACTGGGCAGCAGACACTCGCTGGTCATGAGCTCCTCTTCCGCCTGTCCTGCCGCCCATCCGGCTCACCCGCAACCGCTCCGAGCTTCTCCCGCTCCCTGCCATGAGTGTGTTTCGCTTACAGTCACAACCTCTTCTTGAAAGTCCCGCCGAGACAGATTTCATTTCACGTCTGTCTCCGAACGACAGCCGACTTTAGTTCTGGACGCCCCCTACCTCTTCCAAACTCTGGCCCTGTGACAGGGAATGAAATGTCTCTTCGTTTTCAGAGACACGATTTGATGAAGTATTAGAGTGATAACCGACTAGATCAGACCCCTTTAAAAGGACACTTCTAAAGCCACAAATCACTTTTGAGACAAACATCGCAAGTGCGCAATGGCCGCGGCAAGAAGGAGGGCGGAAGGAGGGCGATGTGAGAAATCCACTTGTTTGGATGAGCACGACGACTCTGCTTCTTTTTATTACACTCTAACTCCTAATACGAGACTTCAAAACGTGAATGGTGACCATACCGAAGGCCTGAAGCATGCAGCAATGCAGGGCCCTCCGGAAGGAGGTCAGAATGACCAAGGTCATCTCTCACCAAGGGCCCCAAGCAGGGACAGCAAAGCCTGTGTCTGCATACATGGACATAAGAATGCACTTCCCCGGGGCGCCTGGGGGGGCTCAGTCGCTTAAGCGTCAGACTTCAGCTCACGTCATGCTCTCACAGTCTGAGTTCGGGCCCTGCATCCGGCTCTGTGCTGACAGCTCAGAGCCTGGAGCCCGCTCCGGATTCTGTGTCTCCCTCTCTCTCTGCCCTTCCCCCACTCACGCTCTGTCTCTCTCTGTCTCTCAGAAATGAATAAACATTAAAAAAACTGCACTTCCCAAACGTTTCCACCCCAAAACCTCCTCTACAACCATGACTTTCCTCATCGTGGGCAAACTCTTAAAGGCTAACGCTACTGCAAAAATAAACAAGAAGAATAACAGGCGTGTAGAAAGCAACTGTTGATAATATCACTATCTGAATTCTCAACAAGTCAGGTTAAATTTGCATGTGAAAGAGTCTCTGGGTGGTGATACTGAGGGACAGAGATGAAGTGACCAAGCACTGTCACTGTTCCAGACGGTTTATAATTAACACGTGATGGAAAGAGACTTGGTTTTCTGTTCTGAGTCGTACACAGCAGCCAGGCAATTGGCTCTTGGCTCAGATCACTGCCCCAGATTATCAGCATTTCCCACCTTGGGAACAAATAATGACTCATTTGAAATATACCACCCAGTACAAGCACTGAATTTTGTCCAATATGCTCCCAGAGGACAATACATTAAGTTTATTTATAACAAGAATAAGTTTGCACTATGGTTTAGACGAAATGTTCATGGAAGTGAAAAAGCAAACCGTCCTCCACATCGTTTTGTGACATACATTCTGCATTTCCACCTCTTTCCTCCCCCCCACTTTTTTTTTTTTTTTTAGAAAACAAATCATTTTAAATGTGGTAACAGCCCAATCTTTACAACAAAATAAACACTGAGTTGATATTCCCTGATAGGCTTAAAAAAGGCAACGGATTTTTTTTTTTTTAATCAGGATACCATATTTAAGTTATGTTTGCATTTTTTAATTTGAGTTAAGTTATTCGTTTGTCTTTTTTGAAATTCTGGATCTCACAAAGTAAATCATATAATTGGGCACATTTCTAAAAGTCCCCTAAATATAACATATGGCAAGAAGGACATTTTCAGAATCGGAGTATCTCTGATTTACATTACTTTAAAAATGCATTCTATAATAATTTGTGACTATATTTTCACAACTCTCGATTCAGGTGTTGGCTACCACTGCTTGCCAGATGTTGTGTTAAATCATCCTAACAAAAGCAGTATGGAGTATTTTTAAATTCTTTCTTTCTTTCTTTCTTTTTTTTTTTTTTTTTTCAGAAACTGAGACTTCGAAAGGTTCAGTAACTACTTTAGCTTCCACCGTAACATAATGAATGGTTTTGGACTTAGGGCTTTCTGATTCCAAAATCTGTGGTGGTTACCATAATCCCTCACTCTGTCCAGTGAATAATAACCATAAATGTTGATTAGTTACGAAGCATCACACAGCGCTCCTAAGCACTTGACCCTATTAACTCATGTAATCCACGCAAAAACCCTATGAGATAATCCTGGGTGCTGATGCGGTGACCAAGCACTGTCACTGTTCCAAATGGGTTATAATTAACACGTGACACAAAGAGACTTGGTTTTCTGTTCTGAGTCGTACACAGCAGCCAGGCAATTGGCTCTTGGCTCAGATCACCGCCCCAGATTATCAGTATTTCCCATCTTGGGAACAAATGAGGACTCATTTGAAATATACCACCCAGTGCAACCACTGAACTTTGTCCAATGTGAGCCCAATGGACAATACCTTAAGTTTATTTATAACAGGAATAAGTATACAATATGGTTTAGAGAAAATGATTGGGGGAAGTGAAAAGCAAACCGTCCCCCACATCGTTTTGTGACATACATTCTGCCTTTCCACCTCTTTTCTTACTTTCTCTCTCTCTCTTTTTTTAGAAAAAGAAATCATTCTTATTATTAGACCCATTTTACAGATGAGCAAACTAAGGCACAGAGAGGTTAAAGGACCTATCGAACAGTGCAAAGCTGGAAAATGAAACAACTGGGTTGGTTGCAACCCCATAAATCTGACTTTAGACAGCTCCTCCCCCCCACCCCCACCCCCACTTAGGGACTATGCTACAATATTAGCAAGTGAATATATATCACCTGTTATTAAAGATTTTGTTTCACCTAAACGCAAACACTTTATTCATGTAATAAGCCATTGCCCTTTCAAAAATAATCATATCCAATTCCTGGAGAATAATCTGCAAACCAGTGTCATTGCATGGTCCCGGTTATATAACAACTTTTAAAATTTTAGTGAAAAGGTCTTTTTCCATCTTACTAAATATATTCGTTAAGATTCTCATTTTCAATCTTTTAAACACACTAACTGTATTCCATTAGCAAAAAAAGAATGGCTATTTGAGGCACTGAAGAGGTTTCAGTAAAAAGGAATTTAATATAGTAAGCTAAATGAACAATCTCTGGTTGAATTTCTCCATTATCTCTTAATGTCCTGAAATTAAACTGTATACAAAAAGTATCTAATGTATCTTTTCTCCTCTGAGTGTAAATACCCAAGCGTAGTCTAATAAAGTGTATCCAGGAGAACAGAAGCAGACATCTAACACCCATAGTTGGTGGGGACTGGTGTGCACAGTATGTGTGAGAAACATGGTTGGTTGTTTGTTTTTTTTTTTCATGTTTAATTTACACATAATTTTCTCAAATATGAGAAATTTATTTGGTTCATGAATTAAAGTTAAGTATGATTTTATCATTTATATTTTGGGTGAATAACACACAAAATATCAAACTGTGTTGGCCAATTTAAAAAGCTGACCACCAAATGTATGGAAGTCCTGAATCACTAAATTGTAGACCTGAATTTAATATTACACTGTATGTTAACTAATTAGAATTGAAATTAAAAAAAAAAAAAAACTAAAGAAAAAGCAAAGTATGATCACAACTCTTGTCCAACTTCCTCCTTGAAATATTAATCAGCCACAGATAACATCATTTTTATGGGGTTTGTAGTTAAATAATAACTTCACGTTATTATCTCACTGGACCTATAAAGTAATCTTATGAATTAGGTGAAACGGAAATTCTCTCTCATTCTGCAGATGAGGAAACTGATGCCTGGAGACCTGAGGGTCTGGTCGGATGATCCAATTAGGGTTTTCTGACACAGTATAATTCCTTTTCCATGACACCATAAACATGACAAGTCAATTACCACATGATACTTGTGTAAGTGGACACACGATCAGATATCTTGTTAGTTAAAACGGCAATAAAATTGAACCGTTTCAAAACATCACAGTAGGTAAAAATGTTTAGGCTTTCACTGCCAGATTTATATGATGATATTAAAGAGCCAAAGGACAGTGAACATTTCCAGTGACATTATTTTTACTCAGTTAAAAGAGAGGTAAAGTTCTATACTTCTAAACTCTGCCATAGGGATACATATACGCTTCCATACTAATATACACACACATACGCAACAGGTACATTTTAACCTGCTCTTTCATTTTGCAACTGGCTGCCACATAACCAGAATAAATCTAGCCATGTTCATAACCACAACACGAACACAAGTATTCGGCTTCTCTTTCATTATGCATGTAGACTCTGTTGACAATCTCCATATATAACCACGTAAACAATACTGAATAGAAAATACCTACTAGTGAAGAGGCTTAGCGGCATACATCACGACAGGCATGCTTATCGTTCTGTCGATCCACAGCTCACTGAGCGACTCATAACTGAAATGTGTGCCATCACTGTTCAGATCTAAAAAAGACACACAAAGAGATAACAACGTCAGTAAAGAGTATTTCGTATCATTCATATAAGAGTATGTTTCCAACCTCCAGCTTGAAAAAATGTTTGGTGATACATCACACTTTTCTGATTTCTCCCACAATGCATAGTACAGCCTCGGACACGCACTGTGCGGTCAATAAATAAGTCTGATTTAGTAGTACATTTAGCAGTAAATTGGTAGGACTTTACTGGAAGGCTATAAATTTATCAATAAAGAACAAAACAAACAAAAGGCAAATTTGACATCCTTGGATGTGGGTGGTTTTTTTAGGGCCTATGTGCTAAACATTTATATCTTGCCCGTGTATGACATTTCTTTTAGTCCTCCTAACAAAGCTCCAACACAGGTAGTCTCCTCGTTTACAGCATTGAGGGTTCAGAATAGTACAGCAGCTGGCCCCAGACTCTGACCTCTAGAGCCATGTCCTTTCACTTATCATGGGCGACGTGTAGGAACACGTGTCGTCCTATGCTTCCTGTGCCCCCTACGTCCTACAATATGAGTGACAGATACCAAGAGATGCAAGGAAAGATGGGCCTCCTTGATCTCTGCCTCCCCTGGGGCTCTTGGGAGACAAACGCGGTCCTCTGCTCATCACCGTATGTAGACCTGCAAAGCGAGAGATCTCGTGTGAGGATGCAGGGTCTGGCACATGTAAATATTTGCTGAGTAAACGCATGAATAAGTGGCAACAAAAGTAGGAACTGGCACATATTTTTTGTCTGAGTTCACACTTTTGTTTGATCAACCCTTTCATTTACTTGCCGACATTACCTTCCTGTCTGCAACACAGTCTCGGGAGAAAAAAAAGCAGAATACATAATCTGAAACATCAAGTGAGCTAAGGTCAAATAGCCCTCATTCAAAGAATTACAAATTCATTAGGAGTCAGTTCAATTTGCTTCAATTGGAGAGGTTCCTGAAGAACAGCAAAAGGTCAATAACAAAGAAATTTTCCAGAGACGGAAAAAGAATTCGGATCAGATATCAGCGTGCTAACAGAACTTAACCACCTTCCCCTGCGGCCAGATCTCTTCATGCAGTCCTTCCCTTGCACAAAGACGGGGGCAAACAGAAATGGCTAAAGACCCTAGGAAGAAACTGCGTGACCACAAGGAACTAGGAAAAGCTGGAGAAGCTATAGAGAAAGAGCTACGTGAAAGACCCCGATGGTCAGACCCAATTTACCCCACTCGAAGAAACAGTGAGTGCTGTGGCTGACTGTCTGTCTAGAGCAGGGCCTGGCGAAGTGCAGCCTGCCGCCTGTTTTTGAGCTAAGAATGGGTCTTACATTTTCAAATCGCTGAAAGGAATCAAAAGAAGCATGCAGATTATTTGAAATTCAAATTTCAGAGTCTATAAATAAAGTTTTATTGGAACACAGCCACAGCCATTCATTTACATATCGTCTCTGGCGGCTTGGGTGCCACAAGGGCAGAGTCAAGAGGTTGTGACAAACAGCATAACTCCCAACGTCTAAAATACAGACTATCTGACCTTTTATTGAAATGGTCGGTTGGCTTCTGATCTAAAGAATTGCTCTCCTTTGGGCGGGGATGATATTAGAGAAAGATTGGTGTTTTCAGGCAGACTAGAGGTAGGGGGTGGGAATCCAATCCTCACAGAGGATGCAGACCCCCAGGGGCAATGCAATGGCTGCACCGAGTATGGCCAGGCTCCTCTGGGGACAGTGGGGCTTTTCCTTGGAGGAGGCACTGGAAAGGTTAGACCCAGCCACACTCAATCTGGCATACAGGTCGTGCCAATGAGGATGGATGAAGAAATCCAGCCACCAGGATAAACGGGCCACGGTGTTCTCAACTGGCCTTGTCTAAGGATGGATTAAGGGGCGACGGAAATAAACAGACAAAAAAGCATAAAGCCTGTCAACAAGAATCTGCTGTGATGAGCACCAGGTGTTGTACAGAAGTGTTGAATCACTAACCTGTACACCAGAAACTAATATTACACTGTATGTTAATGAACTGCAATTTAAATAAAAACTTTAAAAAAAGTAAAACATAATTTAAAAATCCTATTTAAAAACCAAAAAAAAAAAAAATCTGCTACAAAGCACAAGGAAACCATGCCGTCTTTATGAAGAGGAAACATTTACATCTGAAAGACACCAAAGAAAGTTAAAGTGTTGTAGAACATTCTTTGGACTCTCAGTGAAGTTTGAGACAACACAGAACAAAATCCCACAGTTTTATCTTCGCAGAAATTAATTAAACCCAAATAAATGAGAAGACATTTAAGTGGCTTTCCATTTAACTACTAATTGCATCTTGGTGAAGAAAAGAGAGGTTCTGATCTCAAAGACGTGGCTCTGAACACCAAATCCACCATATTCTTGCTGTATGACCTTGAACAACTTCATAATCAAAGTCTCATTTCCATTACCTCTGAAACAGGGTTATTTTGAAAGTTGTGAGACAAAATATGCCTAAAACGTCCAGGATATTGCCTGTTACATGGGAAGTATGATATTTACTAGCTTGCTACCTTCCTTCTGGTCTAGCCCTGTTCACCTTCCCACCCTCCTGTTCTAAAACTCATCCATCCACCATGACAATTATGACCATAGGAAAACGTTGCTGGACATGTAAGTCTCACCTGCCTTTGCATTTTCTGCTTTCTTTGCATAGACTATGCTTTCTAACATTGAATCTTTTCTCATCTCACTGGTAAACTGTTATTCACTTGAAAAAAATGTTTAATTCAGAAGTGAATTTTGTAACCATTCTTAATCCCTTGGGCAGAAATATACAGGCACAACCTTTTTGTGCAAAAAACTGTTATTATTAAGTCATAGTGTATTATCTGTTAACATCTGTCTTGCCCAGGACGCTGTATCTTGGTCATTTTCATTGTTAAGATATGATGTGATAGCAAAATGACCAACTATAGCCTCCTGGGGAACACAGACATGTAAACACACACACACACACACACACACACACACACACACACACACACACCCCACATACATTCCTGCCTGCCTATTACTGGCCTAGTGTTGGAGACCACATCCGAGTCATCTGACACTTACTGAATAGACATCACCTTCCTCATGCCAGCTGCAACTAAGTGAAGAATGAGTGCAGGAAGAATGCAACAGCAAACCTAATAAGGATCTGATATGTAAGAAATGGACACTTAGCAAGTTCTCAGTGACACTGACTGCTTAATTACCCTGGAAATCCATCTGGAAATAGACACAAAGTAGTATACATCTCTTCATCTTATAGATTTGGGCAAAAGAGCTTTCGAAGTAGATTTCAATGACAATCTTCCCAATTTCCCAAACATCTACTATGTACCAGACTCCAGTGGGTACAGCCTCTAAGTCAGCTATTTCCATTTTTATTCTTTTTCAGAGGAGGAAGTTGAAGGGGAGCAAAGAGTGGGAAGCTTTTTCTTGACTAAAGTCACACAGTGAGTGGAAACTTAAGTATATCAAAGTCTAGGCATTTCCACATTAAAACTCCTTTTTGGTCTCTACTTTGTTAAAAGATGCTCTTAACGGAAGACTTCTTGTATAAACAGTCAATAAGTGATGGTTGTTGTTACTACAATTATTATAACCCAACAAAAGGGAAACAGTTTATCACTATGGAATGTTACAATGTGAAACTTGTATTATGCTTGTTTGCTGTAAGTATCGAAGTTATGCTAACATAAGGATCTGTGTCCATAAATGCAGAATACGAAAAGCTAAGAAGGCTCATCAAAATTATGAGCAATTTCATGTAGAATACATAATAAATATTGGAAGATAGTACAGTCAAAGGAAGACCGTGTGATTATAGGTAACTTATTTGAAATTCATCCATTTATTTGAGAAAAGTGCAAACATGCATGAGTTCAAATTTATATTTTAAAAAAGCTGACATGTATACATTTCTAAGAGTGGTGGTAACATGCCAGACTTCTCCACATTTGAAATCTCACTTTTTCCCTGAGCAGGAAAATACTTACTGCTGTTTTAGTAAGAGCTATTAGTTTGTCTATTTATTTTGCTATTGGAAATGGAAACATTTAGAGGAGGATTTAAAAAACAAGGATTACTGGAGCTAAGTTCTCTCTGAAATGGAGTCATTTAAACTATCTACTCGACTTAAAATACAGTTTACCTTCACATTTGCCAATTAGGATAAGCAATCAACACAAGATGATACTGACTATGGTACTCCTGCAAAAAAAAAAATTATACACACACACACACACACACACACACATTTGTGTGTGTGTGTGTGTGTGTGTATGCATATCGCATATAGGGAGCGTGCTATTTTAACAGAACCACAGCAAAGATAATGATGAAAGTTCTTACCCAAAAAGGGAGACAGTATTGGACAAGAGCAACAGCTGAGGCTCAAAAACATGTTGACGCGTGCTCAGACAGGACCTGATATCCACGCCAGCAGATGCCCAGGTCACAGACCATCTGCATCTCCAACTTTAATCTGAAGGCAGTTCTAACCTGTGTCACTTACTTATGAAGCAATTAGTATTCTCTTATGGTCATTGCATTACAACAGAAGAAAGTCACAAAAACTTAAAGAAATCTGTTTGTTTACTTATTTTTGATAGAAAGAGGGGAGGGGGCAGAGAGAGCAGGAGAGACAGAATCTGAAGCAGTCTCCAGGCTCCGAGTTGTCAGCACAGAGCCAATGCGGGGCTTGAACTTACAAACTGCGAGATTATGACCTGAGCTGAAGTTGGATGCTTAACTGACTGAGCCACCCAGGTGGCTGTAAAGAAGTCTGTTTAATCAAAAGCATCTTCTAGGAGGCTCCTGGGTGTCTCAGTTGGTTAAGCGCCCAACTTCAGCTCAGGTCATGATCTCACTGTTTGTGAGGTCAAGCCCCGAGTCAAGTTCTGTGCTGACAGCTCGGAGCCTGGAGCCTGTTTCAGATTCTGTGTCTCTCTTTCTCTCTGCCTCTCCTCTGTTGGCCCTCGG